TATACAAAGATCTCTTCAGTAAACGGACACCTCTGTAAGACGGACATCTAGTGTTGGTCGCTATCGTTTTTCAGTTATTTGACTGTAACTATACTCTCTATAAGACGGACACCTCTGTACAGGAAGCCGTAGAAAAACACTTTCTAATCCCCACGCTCCATGGCCGGGAATGGCGCACAGTGGTGCAGCTAGTGAAGCTAGTGCGAGAGGTGGAGTTACAAGAACAAGTTTCTAAACACAGCTGGATGGAGGATGGCCTTTGGTGGAATGAGACGACGGTACATTTAGGGGCTATTAACACAACACCGGGATGACTTTCAATTTTGAGTCTACTCTATTCTTCATTTCATATATTTCTCTCTATTTTTTTTTTTTACATGATATCAAAACGACATTTTATTTCCTTTCATTCCCTCCGGAATGAGTTCATTCAAGTTTTCAATGGGAATGAAATGCTCGTTCTTATGCCAATTTCATTCCGGTATCATATAAACTGAAAACGAACTTTGTTCTGGATTGAAAATCAAACATCGTGTAGGCTGGGGTGAGTAGCGCATGAGTACCTGATCTGGCGCGAAAACCACGCGAGGGAGAACGCCTTAAATTATTTCATATATTACTATTACTATTTTATCACGTGAATATCATTCGTACTTCATTCCGGAACGAAACTCATTCCGGAATGAAAGTAATTTCGGTATCCTATTAACATCCCCTTGAGACCGCTGGTCGTGGAAAGCATTCTGTCTTCTGGTCGAAATTCTCTCAGCTCGCCCGCGCACTTGCATATCATTCCCGCTCTAAGAATTCCGAGCAACATGAGACTGGCTCACAGTATAGGGCTTTTCGAAAACTGATGTCTTGTTTACAATTTTTTCTTATTAACTATTCACTATTCTTTTGTGAGAAAGTACCTATTACTTCGCCATAGTACTTCCATGGCATTCTTGATAATGGCTAAGAAAATTTAAGTGCTTTCGAAACACCACTGTAATCAATGGCAACAGTGACTCAATAGGGGCTTGACTCGGGAGTAAAAACTTTTGATAAAGCCGGTTGAATAAGATTTTCATGATAGTTTGTGTGGCAATTATTCATTTTTTTGGCCTTTTTATTCAGTCACCATATGACTGAATCGTTCTGATTTTATTTAGTGGAGATTGAACGAATCCTCTCCCTCCGGCACTTTAGTAAGGTGAAAGACTTGCCCTTAAGGTTTTGTTTATTAAACTACTCAGTGATTACGATTATTCCATTTTGGTTAACAGTAGTACTAGTAGTTGACAGTAGTAATAAATAGTATAGTTTTGCTAGCAGCAGTGGCGGATCCAGACCTTCAGATAAGGGGGGGGGTTCATCCAGACCCTGGGATAAGCGGAGGGGGGGCGGCCTCCCAAAAACATTTTTTCGGTTCTTCGGGCCTCATTTTGGTCGAAAATAAAGGGGGGGGGGGCGGGCCCCTCCGGCCCCTCCCCTGGATTCGCTACTGAGCAGTATCTTTTTTTTTTTTTTTTTTTTAAAAAAAAGTTTAAAAAAAATTTTTTTTTTTTTTTTGGGGCCTTCTACTTTTTAAAACTTGGCCCCCCGGCCCATTCCCGGCCCCGTTTTTTTTAAAGAAAAATAGCTTTTTTGGGGGGGGCGGCTTGTACTTGGAAATTGCCTTCAAATACAAAGTAAAACAAAGCAAAACGGTAAATTTTCTTCCAACTATAAGGCTAGCCCAATCGATTTTGAAACGCAAATTTCCCTCCATAGAAAAGCCCCTCCGAATATAAGCCCCTCAAAAAGGGCCTTTGAAAAGTACAAGCCCCGGGACTTATTTTCTGAATTTTACGGTAACCTTTTTGTTCTGAATTATTGGTTTACACTTTTGTAGAAACAGGAATTACGAGGATCAAAGAAGAGGGCGTGTTTCTCGTTTCAAGATCATGGTGGATTGAGTGAGATCAAAGAAAAGCTTTTTCAATACCGGGGAAGATTATCGGCTTTGCGAGCGTGTCAAACGTTTCAAGAATGTCTTGAAAAGGAGGATTTCATGCTCATGGTAAGTAAAATGAACCTCTTTCATCTCTACTCCAAATCATCGCTTTACATAACATTACAGTGAGTCGACCCATGAAAGAGAATCCGGATTACGGAATCCGGAAATTTTTTTCTAGACTGAATCCGGAATCCAGCAATATTTGCTGTTGAATCCGGAGTCCTTGGTTTTAGAAATCCGGAACACATTCTAAGGAATCCTGAATCCTGCTGCCTGTAATCCAAAAACCAAATTCCACTGGCGCAGAATCCGGGAATCCAGAATCCACACTGCAGAATCCAGAATCCAAGACTAGGACTCCCTTTCATGGACTCCCTCACAGTCGAACTTCCGGTAAGCGACCGCTCAAGGTGCGAAGATTAGGTGGTTGCCTGCTAGTATCGATCGCGAACTATACGAGTCTCTTTCGAGAAGAGGTCCCAACAAATCTGCTTTTAAGCCAAGATTGTTTACTTCCAGTGTGTATATGTGAGGTTCCTCGTTGTCACTTGTAAAAGTTCTGTATACTCTTGGAAGCCTAGTACTGATTGTGAACATAGAGATTAGACCACGGGTCAGTTGGTCGCCTACAATAGGTTAACAAATTACAAAACTGTCTCGGCCAAAAGTGGTCCGTAGCGGTCGCTTACTAGAGGTGGTCGTTTTCTGCTTAGAATAAAGTGGAGATCGTCTAAAAGCTCTACAGAGCTTGCTTGATCTCCTGCCTTGTAGTAGTGTAATAGGTTATGTCTGTACAAATGAATGTATGGTAAATAATTACAGGGTTTTGATTGGGAAAAGTTTTGATGTTTTTGGATAGATTGTCGCTTATGGAAGGTGATCGCTTATGAGAGGTGATCGCACATAGGCACGTTCAAATGTATTTTACATTTTATTCTTANTACTCTGGTGCCCTTCCCCCTCAATTCTGTTGCTCGTCTTTTCGTCACTTGTCTCGCCTGAAATTCTCGAATGAGGGGCCGCTCCACGCCCCCCCCCCCCCCTCATTCCCTTCTGCGCCGTATTCTTTTTTTTTTTTTTTTACTAAGAAAGAGTTTAGAAAAACATTTTTTATTTACTTAGGGCGCTTTCCATTTATCAGAACTGGCCAGCCGGACCATTACCGGACCAGTTATTTTGACAATGAAATCGGCTTTTTCCAAGGGTTTTTGCTGAAGAACCATCTCCTTCCTGCACACTATTACTACTGTCAACTACTAGTACTACTGTTAACCAAACTGGCCGCTTTTTCACGTTTGTTTGTTTGTTTTTTATAACTAATATGTTAAGTAACATTAATGTTGACCACTTAAACAACTTTCCTTCAAATAAGTCAGTGAAATTCGCAAAAGATCGTCAGAGAATAATGAGAGTTTCTTTTCTCTTTTTTCTACTCTTGTCGGCATCGCTGACTCATGCTCTGAACTGAATTTGATGATATGGAATCCTGCAGTCATTGGTAAATCAAACCCAGAACGGTGCAATTGTTGAGCATACGCCTCTGTGGCACCAAGTGGCCACATCTCAGAAAAGTAAGAACTTGAGCCCCAGAGGTTTTATGTATTATAATAGGGGGTGGAGGTGGGGGAGGGGGTGGACGATTTAGCCCGGAGGAAGGGCGTGGTTGCTTAGGAATGTTTCGGGGTGAGTGAGTGGCGCTAGAATCTGGGAACCCCTTCCGATAACCAACTAATCAACTGCGACTTTTACAGTACAGTAACTAGTAATAATTGACACTAGAGCTGCCCCCGCTTTGTGTATTGCCGGTCAATAGTATTCTTACTCGTTGTGTAGCTCTTTGAAATATGCCAATTCGTATTGAAGATTTTCACACATATTCCATACAATAGGTGAGAGTAAAAACAGCAAACGCAAGGTTCCATACACTGTTTCAGTTCGATTTACACAGCTTTGGTCAAAAAAAATTTACTGTTTCGAGAATAGTTTATTCTAAACCATAAGAAACCATTTAATCAGAAGCTGGAAGTTTCCGCTATTTCTCCTTCACTTTTTACAGGCAGTTCATTTCATTTGCTGGAAAGTAAGCCTTAAAAATTCAAAGGTTTAATGAATTCTGGCTCGCGCGTTCTAATCTTTGTTACTTTAAACTTTATAAAAGGAAGTCTGTGAGCTGGGAATAAGTCAGCACATAATTCTTTCGCCGGCAAATTTCTGTAATCGTCCATCGTTCTGTTAGTGATAAGCTACCCGTTGACTCACTCGTCTTGCTTGTTTTCAATTGGGACTGAGTCTTATTCCTCCAAAGGGAGACCTGTAAAACCTGTGCTGCGCTAAAAAAAACGTTGTTGCGAATCATCCCGTGTAACATTTCCTTTAGCATTGCACGATCTTATGTTTTGTTTGAGCCAACTATAATTATTATCGAGAGCTTCGCTGTTTGTCCTGGCTAGATCGATATATTATTTCAAGGTTGCGGATTGTCACCCCATGTAAGGGAATTCGAATCCTAGGGTTTCTGGAATCTGGATTTCCTTACATTGGGCGAAAAATGGTTTAATTACTTATAGGGCATGATGGGGTTATGGTTAAATTTGCTAAAAAATAAATGTGACTGCTTCCGATTACGTTCATTACCTCCGCATGGTTAAGAAATCTCCTTCAAAAAAAGAGAACTCATTGTCGGGGATGATGAGTGAGGGGTTTGAAAAGATCCAGACCAAGTTTGCTGAGTGAGTCAGAAGCAAACTCAACAAAGTAAATAGGTAGAAAAATTAGCGTAAGCTGAGAATTTTAATAGATTTATTTGCTATGTGCGAGACAAGAAACTGCTAATGAATTATTGGACTAATTATAATGAGTTAAAAGCCGGAGGGTCACGAGAGTATTAATATTTCGTAGTATAATAATATTATACTAGCTTGTGAGCTAGGGCGCTCTGGCGGCGGGGCGCGAAAGGGAAGGAGAGCATGCAACTACATCTCTGAGATTTGAATATCTACATCGAAAAAGTCAATGCAAAATGCTGATTAGCGGAGATGACATTAGTAACGAAGTCATTACTCTTGGCACGTGTTTTTCAGTGTTTGTCAGACATTCGCAGACTAAGGGCTTTATATCCAATAGGCGCTTATACAACCGGGATAGAAAAAGCGCTTCGAAACAAGCTATAGCAGTGCTTATTATATTAGGTTTTGCATTTACGTCTATTTAATCAAGGTTCGACACGTCATAATAAATCAAATTCAATTTGAGCTATTAGCTACAGGCGAGTTTATATCCGATGGCGAGCTTATAACCGCATGATTTTTTCGCACCCAGTAGATACTAGCCTAAAAGAGGGCGGAGGCGGGAGGGGAGGGGTCTTATAAGGGCCGGGCCGGGGTTCAACGTATAAGTCAACTCCCTTCATGAGTTAAAACTGGACAGTTAATTAGCGTCTAATATCTTCCAATTGTGATAGATAAAGTGACCAATCTGGCCGATACGATTCGATACGAGGCATCGATACTTTATTTATCCTAGAGTTTACGCTTAGTTAATCAGCTAGTTTACTAGTTATATTATTTAACGGCCCTAGTTTATTTTAAAAATTAAAAACTAAAAATGTGCAATTATAATTCGCATAACCATAAAGCTAAGAACTAAGAATCTATAAACGATTCTTAAGTTCCAAACAATCCCTCTCTGTGGTAATTACTATATGGGGCATACTGAACCAGAATATTCAGCAAAAGAACCCAACAGAGAGTTTTAATCCATCATGGCAAAACCAACAAGCCCCGTTGCTCATGCGCACTTCTAATAAAAGGACGCAACGCGAAAGACCGTTTTGACACGACGTCACGGCGGCAATATTAGAGTACGGGAAAAAAATCCTCTCGGGATTGAACTCTTCCTCATGTAAACTTTTTTCAACTTTCAAAAAATTCGCATTGTAGATGATCGCGTCAGTGAAAACGATCTATACAATAACTGTCGATCAGGTATTTCAAAATTTCATGTTTTTTTTTCCTTGAAAAGAGAGAGAACCATTTGTGAGGAAAGTACTGGTTTTAGAGCCGTGTTCGTTGTACAAAGTGGATTTAAAGCGAGTTCAGCAAGCTGGAACGGATGTCAGTGCAGATTTTGACAAAGAAGATGTGAAAACAGCGCGCTGGTGAGAATATATACAGCAGATAATTTTTAACATCTAGACGTAACATTAGATGATTAGATTTGCTTTAGCAATCAGCTGCCAAGCACCATTTACCAAAAGTGAACTCGATGAGGCTCCCTCCCATAGCCAAAAGTAGGCTAGAAGAAACAAATACAATCGGCGACAAAATTAGTTGAGACCAAGAGCCATGCTCTTGTTGAGACACTTTGCATTAAACGGTCTTTCTAAGTTTTGCTAATTTAAAAAATGGAAACTTATCACTTTCTCTCCCCCACCCCCTCCATGCAATGTTATGCTGCTGTTCGAGCCACCAGTAGAAAACAACAAACAGACAAACACCCTGACTTTGAATGGATGGGAGAGGGAAGGGATGTGGATTGATTTGTTCACCAAAGTTTAATGACAATGTCTTAACAATTTTGTGGCCGATTGTGTGTATTTTTCAACGTTTCTTATTCTAAAGACATTTTGAGTGCCTACTTCGTTGCTATGAAGTATGAAAAGACACTGAAGAGAAATGAATTACTTCCACTTAACTATGCTTATTGCCTACTATGCATGTAGGTTCGGAGATTTAGAACGAGAGGCTCAAGAACTTGGACTTCAAAGAGCTATTGAAGTGATTTGCTTGTTTAGCAAGTTGTATCCATTTGCAATTGACGACGTTACAACTATTCCTTTCGCCCAGGTTTGTTTTAATGTGCAAGATTTTAGGCGGTCTACTGTACGATCACTAAACTAAACATTCAAAAATTATTTGACGTTTACAGAAAACTCAAAACGTGATATTTAAGTACAACAATTCCTCAAGTTGCGAAATGATTAAGTAAGAACTGTGGAAAACTAGACCCCCTAAATTTGAGTACATTGGGCTGCTTCCCTGCTGAAAATATTAATCTGGATAGACAGAATAACTTTAAAGCAATATTAAACAAAACACAGCTAATTAAAAACTTATTTTGCAAAATCACCAGTAAACGAAACAAAATGTTATATTTTTCTAAAAATAGGACGAGGGTAATAATTTTCGGAAGTTCCAGTTAGATCAATTTAGTCACGTTATACTGTCATGTAATAATTTTGGTTGCTGAAGGATTTGGATTGGGGTACAATGTGCAAATGTCCCAGTTAAAAATAATACCTGTCTTTTTTTTCTCGTTTCAAAAGGGTTATTTGCTTATTTATATTTTTATTCATATTGGTAGAGTCGACGATTTCCATTCTCCTTGTTTAAATCTGAAATGACCCACCCTCACCCATCCTCCGCCATCAATAGTCAAAAGATTGGCCCCAACGAGACACGCATCCCCTTCTGGGAGATCTGTCCGCCATTTTGTTTTCATGTGACCTCGATGATAAAGCACAATTTTCTATTGGGCTTTGCCACAAGCCAGGGCTTTGCCATAGTGAGGCTCCTGCATTGTTCTATTTTTTGTAGGCTAAGCTTTGTCTGGTTGTCCAGTCCATCCCAATCTATGAACTATGCTCATTACCAATGATGGATGCATTGAAGGTCAGCGATCATTAACTTATTTCGGCAGAGAATAAATGATTTTATGCAGCTAGTTACACCGTCAGGCTAATGTTTACTCGCTAGAGGGGGTACACGGCAAACGAGACCTCGACTCACTTATTATTTAATTCAGTACAGGCCTGATTGCAGGCCTCTTTTTCTCCAGCTTCAACACGAAATAAGTTTCTCCTTTTAAATGTGGTTTTCAGAATTCAGAGCAGTCATCCATGAGTGATTCGATCAGCCTTTCATTTCCTTGGCCTGGATAAAATGGATTGATAATCACTGAGGCGTAAGTCCTAGTTCATTTTGTAATTGCTTTCACTGTGTTGATTCACCACGACTATTACTCTAGTGCACATCTTTAATACTCCCATATAACAGGAAAGGAGCTCGAGCCTGTGACAACTTTCCTTTCCTTTTTTTTCTTTTTTACTTGAATTAAGCGGACACCGGTGAAAGAGTTCCTCTGCTTTAAGGTCTATGTCATGGCAAGTTTGCAATTTTGTTCAAAGCTGAGCTAAATTTCCTCAGCCTCCTTTTTTTTATAGTTGGAGATCTAAAAAAAAGAGAAAACAAATGATTCTCTGACGTAAAACAGAGCAGGACCAGTTTTTGGTCATTCTTTAACAGTTCAAGCCGTCGGTTTTTGCAAAGAATTTTGTTTTTCAAGTTACAGTATGTTGCATCCAAGCCGTCGGAAACCTTCAAGAAAAATGCAGTTGTATATGAGATATGATGCATAGTAGTTTTAATTAGTATATACTAAAATAGTGGATAGTGTTTTTCGCGCGCTCTGATCGGCTACTCAACCTCCCGATATCCAGTGCTATTCACTGATTCATCTCCAGTTACTGCGACGCCAAACTCGTGTAAGTTACGAGCACAATAGGTTTCCCGTACTTTACTGCCGAAACAAACAAAGAAACTTCACAAATAATCAAACAAGTTGTTACCGGAATACACGAAGAAGGTGACGAAATTCGGTTTGGAAGTTTAAACAGGTAAAGCTTTGACTTGAATTCATGATCATCCATGAAACCAGTGAAAAAGTTTTTTTGCTATGCAAATTGAGTCTTGCGTTTCTTTATTTACTAGCTGTCATGTTCATAAAACGAGGCTTAAAACTACATTTAATAGGTTTTTACAGAATGGTTTCAGACACAAAAAGAATCACGACTCCTTTTGAAGAAATTTCTCCGCGCGCAACAGCTTAACAAATGCAATGCCTTCCAAAATTTTATTTGTCTGCCAGAAAACGCGACGGCCGTTTGGTCATAGCGCTCAATTATCTCACTGTTTCAGTGTATACTAATATCCACCACTACTAGCCACCTCCACTTTGCTGAATAATTGTTATATAGAACTGAACCATAATCTCAGTATTATTATTATTATTATTATTATTATTATTATTATTATTATTCCCACATGATTCAGTTTACTACTGGCCGAGGGTTTTGGTACATACTGAAGAAGGAGACAAATGATTAATTGGGGGATCGTTAATTTTCTGTTGGTCATCTTATCAGTATTTACTTCCCGATGTGCAAAACGCCAATCTTATTTTTTTACCGGGAATTTTATCCTACGCCTGCACAAGTTTAACGCCTGGTCAAGCCTGGTTTGACAACCAGAAAAGTCTGGTTGGTTCAACCAGGCTTGCATCCTGGTAAACCATGGTTTAACCAGGCTTTTGGCCCAAGAGGAAAGTGAAGAACCATGCACATATCGGATAGGTTTTTATAATCGGGGAAGCGGTCGACTCGCTCTAGCCGGTTCCAGGCGTTTAGAAAGCGGAATGGGGCGCGAAGTCAGAGAGCGAAGAAAAAAATAAGGATCATGATGTAGCATTTAAATGCTGACAACAAGCAAAACAGTTGAAAAAAGATCAAAGTTAAGATATAGCAATTTGGCCGCTACGTGTGTACGTGTATTATGCCACACGGATGTCTATGATTTTCAACACATTCCATTGTTTAGCAAAAAAAATGTCGCACGAGATCAATAGAGCTTTTCGACTTCTTTATAAGGGTACTTTTTGTAAAACAAAATTGCCTGAAGTGGAAGTTGTGTTGGGCCTGTTTCTTCCTAAATACTTTACGATCACTTCCGAGCGCGCCACGTTAAATTTGGCGAGCATTTAGGAGGTTTTGGCGCGGATATGTTCGAGGCAGAAATAAATAAATTAAAGGAAAAAAATCGAACACTGTGCTAACCTTCAAGGAGTCTTACGATTAAGCAAGTCATAATAAAAGCCAGAATTAATGCTTCGAAAGGTAAACCTACTGATCTAAGGCTGAATTGGCCTCGCTTTTGAACCAATGTGACGAAGGAAGGCTGGCTATCTCCGGTTGTCAGAAGAAGTTTGAACTCTCCCGACCTGTCCGATCTGTTAAAGTTTTCTTTCAAATACCAATCGCTTCTAAGGGAAATGATTTTGAATCAACAAAGAAATTCTCGACCGCGATACGGCAAAAAAGAACTCACATATACTCCATACAATGACGTCTTGATCGGGCTGACCCTATCCAGAGAATAGTTGAACAGCCCGTGCTCGACTAGCCTCAGACACTCTATTTTCTCTTCAAAGTCTGTCGAGCGCGGATGATAAAATATAAACCGCAGGGGATTTATTGACCGCCAGCGTAAAGTGGTAGCGGTGGGGGAAGAAGAATTTTTCTCTCTCGCACTCCGCGCTCGCTTCGCTCGCGAGCTCGCCGATGTTTTCGAAAAGAACTAAAAGAAAAAGAAAACGTATGTGTACAGGCTAGCGCTCGACTTTATTTACCCCGCCTAGTACTGTTTTAACCATATTAAAAGACAGTTGCGAAATGTAGAATTGTTTCATCGCCTCTGTGAAAATCACTATCGATGACAGCCAGTCTGACCCCTGCTAACATGAACAAGATCGAAGGTAAGATTATAACAGGAAATTGAGCATAGCAACCGACAGTCAACGTAATTAGTAAATGGACCTTGTGGCTTCTCATGTAGGACGTGAACAGCAGAAAACACCACACAGAATATGCGTGCAGGATATGGCTATAATTACCCTGTGAGCAGACCTTTCTCTCTTAGTTTCTCTTGCATGTCGTGTTTACGAAGTCCTTCGCGTTGCTTGTCAGTCACGAAAAGCCATGCAGGAGAGAAACATCTGCTCGCAGGCTATGCTATAATGCGCTTAGTAACAAAATCTGCAATGTTTAGTTTTGGGAATTACGGTTAATTAAAAAAAGTTACATGGTCATAGGGTCCTGAATTTTTTTTCTTAAAATTTGTAAGACCAAAATCTTTTGCGCGTTTTTATGGACAGAGACGCAGTTTTTTCATTGACATTATTTATTATATTATTATATTCTTATATATCTGTGTGATTTTGTTGAAAGATGCCCGCTAAGTTTTCGCTTGAATCGCCCGTGTTCAAGCCAGTGTAGCCGGAAAAAACCAGGGGCTTGGTGTCTTGCTAGATGTCAGCAGAGAGCCCAGTCCGAGACATATCCGTGGGTGGGTGGCTTCCTTGTTTTGTGTGAAAACCAGGGGAGGCGGTAGGCAGGGGAGATTTTGTCACTTTGATTAGAGTTTTATATCAGAAAGCAGTGCAAAGTCAGATAATTTTTCCTGTGGCCTAGGCCGGCCAAATCAATGCGGTGACTCGTAATTACTCCGCAAACACTACTAGCAGAGCTTGGGGGAAGTGATTGACTAGTCATAAGCTTCATGAGTGGGGAGGGTGAGTAGTTGCTCCTTGGACTTGGCCGTCTAAAGACTCAGTAAAGGCACCTTGTATGAAATCCAGACAGATATTATTATTTCATTATATTTTATTACTATTTCATTTTTTTATATTTTATTGTATTAATTTTTTCCTTCGTCTGCGCAAGTCAAACCAGAGACTGCGCATCACCCAGCATACAAATGTTTCCGGCCGGCTGCGTCACGCTATTTACTATCTTTTTTTTAAAAAACGGCTAAAACATCAATTGAATTCCAAAACCTAATGGCCTAGTTTTGTTATTTAATACGATATTTAGGCATCTCTCTCCTCCACAGAGGCTTCTTTGAGTTGTAGGGAGATTGGGGTAAACGAACTGAAGAGAGCGTCCGCCCAGCGCTTTCTATTTTTCGATTACTGCTTTTTTTTGTTTATTTGGATACTAATACCCAGTGGCAAG